GTGTGTGTTTGTTTGTTACGTGTACGTCCATTACAGCTTGCGTGATCGACCTACTCAAAGCTACACACACACACACAAATCCCAAATCACACACACAATTCATAGGAGCTGTTTGCTCTTCCGCCTCATTCTCTTCCTGTGCCTGCTTAATTTTCCACACAGTAAATGAGAGCAAGGCAGACAGGAGGACCCTTATGTTACTAAGACTTTGGGTAGAAAGAAAAGACAGTAACACACTAAGAGGAGGTTACAGGTCACTCAAATGTAAGCTAATTAAAAAGGAGACGGATAACAAACAGTCTCAGCTTGCGGCAATAATAAAATACTGCTTCTTAAAATAATTTATAAAACACATTTCTGGCCGTCGATCATCCGAATCAATTAGAAAATCCCATGCACATGACAAAAAGAAATCGATGAGTCATACCAGCCTCTAAGCAGCAAGTTAAACTGTGGTGAACTTTGACAAGTGGTTAGCCAGAAAAACAGAAATAGAAGGCTGTCGTAGCTTATTAGCGGTCTGACAGCTCAACAAAAGAGAAATGGTCTCTTTAAAATGTTTATCACGGTTGCTAACTAAGCCTTTTTGCCAGTTCTCCTTTCTATCCACTTCTGGCTGTCGGTTAGCGACCTCATTAGCTTGTTCTCAGCTAGCTGCCTAGGGCTGTACCCGAATATCCGAATATCCGAATATTCGTTTGTTGGAGTGCTATTTCGGGTTTCCATTTCGTTATTCGGATATTCGTTTTGTTTGTATTTTCCCCGTTTTTTTTTTCAAATTGAATTTATTGAAATCTCCAATATCAACGTAAGAGCTTGTGCCTCTTCGGGAGGTGCTAACACTTAACCATAAACGTTATCGTTTACTTTCTCCGTCTTTATATGTAGATATTACTTTTATCCGTTAATCTCCGTCACGTTGTTTCCAAAGCAACAACAACTTCCTGTCTACAGCGCTAACTCTCCTTCAAAATAAAAGCATATCCATAAATAGGAAGCCAAGCCAAATTACACTTAAGACATATACAACTGCAACGAAAGTAACAAACACAATGCGATATCCTTTTCAATTTCAAAGAACACAAATTGGGTTACATTAACAAATAACTATAAAACAACAATACTGTAGAATAACAAAATGAATGCCGTGAATACACCGAAATACACGTGTTGAAGCGGTTCGCTGCTGATTACTATTTATTATTGAATAAAATGATATACAATACTAATAAAAAGTGGGAGTAAACAGAGTACAGAGATCAAATAAAAAAACTCAGAGAAGTGTGTTGCGTTTAACTAGCAGTAGCTTGTTTCTAACTTGCTAGTGTGTTAGCGGTAAGCTAGCCGGCTATAGTTATTTACAAGCTATGCATGATTAGCTGTGGACATAAGCTAATGTGACTGGTTTATCAAGTGTGTTAAAGTAAGAACAGTTCCTGCTTTGTTCTTTTAAACAAATCATCTGATAGTCCATGGCTTTAAATGTAACATGCTATCTGGATGCTAATTGATGCTAAGTATTAGTCCTAAAATAGATTCAGTAAACAAATATGCTCAAAACATGTCTAATTTCCCCGAAATTATGCGTCATAGTATTGATTAACAATACTGAAACTAGAAACTGCTTGGTTCTACTACAATAGAAGCGTCATATAACCGCATGTTAATGTATGCTATTGATTAGCTGTTATTCTATATGTGAGTCCTTTGTGTTTAAGGCAAGAGGAACAAAAAAACACACTAGTACTTCTAACCTTTAGAAGGACCCAAAAACGAAATGTTAAAACTATTATAATGAACAGATATAGAGAACGGGATGTGTGCAGTCTATTAATATCAAGTTCACCTATTACAGTGACATGTTGCACTCACTTCTTAGAATAGTTATGTAGTTGGTTAGAAAACTGTTTCAATAACTAAAATTAGAAACCGACTTCCTTATTCGAATGTGATCTGAGAACCTTAACACTTATAATGCTGCTCTGAAACCGGATGATCTGCTGTTTATCTGTTGCTCTTTAAAAAGTGATTTAAAATATTTTAAAAACTTTAAAGAACACGTGTGCATCAATGTTTTTTTGTCATCTGTGCCTTTTATTGCAATTATATTTGAACAGCATTTAGTAGAGAGGCAGACAGGATATGTAAGAGTGGAAAGGATATGAGATGAGACATGTGGTTTACAAGGTACATGACATAAAAGCAAGTGTTACGCCTTAAGAGCATGTCTTATAACAGACAAGAAACGTAAGGGTCTTATTTTCAGTGCAGGACCGGTTTGGTTTTGACTCTGCAACCAACCAAAAATAAGTCACGTTTTAACACCTCACATCAAGAAATGTTAATGCTTCTCACAGAAGACATCAAAACAAGAACACACACGTACAGCAAATCAATCTCAATTAGTCCTGAAAATCCCATCCGGTCTTAAAGTCTACAGGCTGGAGTCAGACAATTAAATCTCCAAGGTCACATTGACTTTGATTACAGACTATAAAACAGCAGCTACCAAACATTTATGGTGTGAGCATTTGCCTCTTTCCCTCACATGCCAGGGTAAGGCTGATAATTGTAATGCCAGTTCCTGTAGGCTAAACATGACACAGCAAAATCATAGAGCAGTTTCATGACCTTGTGCAGAAAGATATCCATTCAAAAACATCCCCAAAATAAATATTTATCTAAATTGAGTGACTTCAGAGAGTCTCTTCTGGTATCCTTGGTGTCATAAAGCTTGTTTTTGTACTCAAATATATTTAATTACAGTCAACACAAGTGTTTCCAGAGTGACATTGAAATGACACGCATAATTATTCAGGGTGAGGGACTGAATTAATCCCATTAGTATCAGGATGTCATGTCACAGTTGATAAGAATGAGCACCTTCTCAATAATAGACAGCCACAATATTATAACGTACGGCAACAGGCGAGGGACAAAATACAACAACGCATGACAGGGAGAAGCTGTTAAGCACTACACACACAAAAGATAAAACCTAAACTACACCCCTTCTCTTACACACACACGCAAACAAACAAAGGGATACACAAACACACTAATCCGCTCAGGCCATTGTTGTCACTACAGGGTAATCCGGAAGTCAATGACTAGCTTAATCTAAGTCATGACTCCAGGTACACACACTATCCAATCTACACACACACACACACAGTAGCATACACACACATAACTAATCACAGTGTTGTCAAACTTGATTGACGGATGGCAAATCAAATATTGTGGCAGCGGGATCTTTCAGCCAATAGGAGAGAAGCTGCATGATGACAGCATTTCACTGAAACCAAGGACTGTATACTATGTAAAATATACTTTAACTTGTAATGATATCTGTTCCCACACATACATTACATAAATGAAATAAGGCCTACAGAAAAGTAATAAATATACTGCACATTTTATGAAGTATTTTAGTCGTTTTCAACAACGCATTTTAATTAAAAAAAATTATTTAACTTGATTTTGAAGATTTTATAATATATTTGTATGTAGATTGATATTTTACACAGATATAAACACAGAATAAGCTTAACAGGTGGCACACAAAAAAAAAATATTACTATGTGGTCAAAGCTTTGACCTATAAACCACTTCCTGTCCAGAGACCCTGAAACCATGACAACGCTATGTGGTGTTCCTTTGCCCTTATATGGGCGTGCATACCGCCCCTCATCGCCCAATTACAGTGGAGTCGGATGAGATTAACTGATCAATACCAGACTGATATGCAATACCATTATCAGCTCCAGGAACAACCGTGCAATTATGGGATGTCATCCCCATGACAACAGGGGGTTGCCGGGTATCCTTTGTTTCCTATTGATCGGTGCTTGACTTACAGTAGACAGTCAATGAGGGTAATGGATAACGATTTCCACACACACACACACACACACACACACACACACACACACACACACACACACACACACACACACACCACACACACACACCACACACACACACACACACACACATCACACACACACACACACACACACACACACACACACACACACACACACACACACACACACACACACACACACACACACACACACACACACACACGATAATCATGAGAGTTGTCATCTGTGTGTTTGCATTGAACATAAATGCTTTTCTCATTGCAGATATAAGACCATCAATAATTAATAAGGGAGGTGTGTGTGTGTGTGTGTGTGTGTGTGTGTGTGTGTGTGTGTGTGTGTCCATCAATATCTTCCTGTAAAACACAGTCTAGAGAGGGCAATAAGCAGCTATCAGAAGTCCTAAAAGAAGAGAGAAATCTGCTGCTGTTATCGCCCATCACAGATTTGAACACAACTTGTCGTCACAGTGGCTGTAAGACAGGAAAGAGAAGCATCCAGGAAGCGGGGTAGGCCTGAGAAAGACGTCAGCTGACCTCAGCAGACACATCGGATAAGATAAAGGTCTGATTTAAGTGCTGATAAAGATACAACTGAGAGACAGATCCTTCAATGGCTTGATTGAGGCAGGAAACAAGTAAATTATCTTTAAAAAGTATACGTAACGGTCCACTGTAAAAGCTTCAAATTGCTTCAAATCCACATCCACACATCCGTTCTTTGGTGGGCGGATAAACCTTGATATTACCTCTTGAATAAATGAGCAGCTGAAATGTTTAAATCAGGGTCCTGATGAAATATTCCACGACTTTTCCATGACTTTCCCTCAGTGAGTTAAGAGCACTTCCATGACCTTAAAAAGGTTATCCCTAAGGGCTTTGCTAATGTTGCTTTTTACCTTGAAGACATCTCGTTTTTATTATGGATCAGATTTTTTTTTAAAGCTTTCAAAAAGTGTTGAATAAAAGCTGAAAACCAACATATATAGTACAAGACAAATCGGATATTATGTGACACTTGCTGTATAACGGATAGAAGCACAGCAGAGGCTTTAACACCACCTACACACACACACACTCACTCACACACTTTCACGCCATCGCTTCCTACCTTTGCCCTTATTTGTCCCGAGGTCGACACTTTGCGGATCAACTTGTGCGACGTCTCCTCTTGTTCCCCGTCGCTGTCGGATGACTCTTCTCCAGCTTCTCCAGCCTGGCAGAAGAATGGAAGAATTGATTAATACATGTTGAGGTCTTTACCACCAAGAAGTCTTGTGAGAGGACTCTCTGCATACTCTCAATGTCTACTGCATTTAATTTGCTTTTTGATATATTCTGTAGCTACCAAGTAAACTGTACTGTTTACTACTTTCAAGCGGCCTTTTAAAACACTATCATAAAATAGCTTAATAGCTCCAAAAACAAAACTGTGCCTTGATATCTGGACTTCTAGGAGAGTTAATACAACTAGTTCAAAGCAGTAAAGTCTTTAAATGCTAGTACTTTTCTATTAAATGTGTAACTTTTGCATATTTCTTTCTCTCAGAGTTCTGTAACATGAAGATTTAAAAAGCCGTTTCTCAGATTGCTCCCTAATGAACAACAAATACATTTGGTTCACTGTTAAATAGTTCTTATTATTTGTGTATTTCTCCTTTGTTCTGTGTTTATAGGAAATACTGGGATCTACTTTACGTCTAACTTTAAAATCAGACAATGCTACCACACTTTAGGTCTGCATATTTCCCCAAAATGATACCAAGGACATGACCTCTGTGTCCTCAGTGGAAGTCAAATCCCTATTTTAGACTTTTCCATGTCGTTTGCACTCATTAATTAATCTCATAAATCACACTGGATAGGAAAATAAGATGAGTGGAAACATACAACCACTTAAAATGATTGACCAACACGATAGTTCACAAATGTCCTCGCTGGGTGTTTGACCTTGACTTGTTCACTCTGACGCTCATAGTGTGAACATGTGGCTGATCTGATAGTAACTGAGACGTATTTAGATGACCGATGTTGAGATGTGGCTCAAGATAAGGATGTTTTTTTGTATTTGAAATGGGACTTGTTTCAAAATGTCTAGAGATGTTTGTACAGCTGATATAAAGGGCTTCAAACGATGTGTATGAACATGCAGGCGTGGGATTGAAAAACCAGTCTTGCACAGCTGTAGGCAAGAAATCAAAAGGAATACATGGACTTTTTCATACAAGTTGGGTCATATGTTTGGAGTGTTTGGATTTCCAATGATGAGAAATTACCCAAAACATTTAGAAATATTGTAACTGTGCCTATTATGTGCAGAAATATTGTGACACTTTCGCCACCTACTATGCATGTTGATTTAAAGCTTTAAAATAGACTTACAATGTGGGTCCTCTCAGAGTCTTGTGGCGACCCCAGCGGCTCGCCGGGCTGCGCCACGTACAGGACGTTTGGGTTCAGTTTAGACGCCATGACAGGCTCACAGTCAGGGAGGGAAGATAAAAGATGGGAGGAAGAGGACAGAGAGGGAGAGAAGACAAACGTGTGAAAGAAAAGTTTGCCAGGTTCAGTGTAGGAGGAAGGAGAGACTGGAGCTTGGCGAAGTGGACGCTTGGCTAAGGAGAGGAAGAGGATGACGAATGGGACGCTGCCGATCCCCTCTGTCCACGGCCAAATCTGGAAAATCAGAATTCCTTTATTAGTCTTAGGGGAAATGTACATTGTTACAGCAAAGAGACATTGATGTGGTGTCAAGCAAAAGATGGCTGACGTCGTGGTTTCGCGCTCCACACACCGACTTTTGGTCTGGTTTGTACTTGTTTGTTTACTTTAAACGTCCAGTTGTCTTGTGAAATCTAGTCTTATCATGCACTCTTATCCTGGATTAGGTTTTTTTTAGGTTTAGCTTATATTCTAAAATGTTCTTATATGCTAGTTTTGATCTCATAGGTTTGTTTGTTTGTATAGTTTTTTTTATATTTACTTGTGGAGAGCTGAGCGTAAGACTTTCATTGTACAGTGCTGCCTGTTTTACTGTATATATGACAATACAATTATAAAAAAAATTGATAACGATAGAGAAAAAATGTAAGTGGCATGCACACATATTCAAAAATCTGACGCTGACGGTGTAAAATACTATAATAACTAGTACACAAGTATATATTTTTATATTGCACAGTGGTATATAACATGTGTTGGGTAGTGCAAAGCGAATAAGCAGCTGGTAATATCATTTGTCTGAGGGGTGGAGGAATGGAGGAATTAATTATTGATTGGAAGAAAAAAGCTCAAAGGAGAGGGATTGGCAGCTGAAAAGTTTAGGAAAACTCAAACAAAAACATCTTCTACTACTATAATTAATGTCTCCTCTTCCTCCACCATTGCACTTTTTCAGTTGAGTTCACACGGCACGGCCAGTTCTCTTTCTCGTTTCCTCTTTGCTTCAGCGTGCATTTGTGAGAAAACACTTTGTGGTTTGACAGTTCAGCCCTGAGCGCTTTTAAATAGAGCCGTTGTGATGCAGATCAGCCCTTAAGGCCAGTGGCACAAAAACCATGGTTATGATGATGATGATGATGATGATGGTGGTGAAGATGAATGGGAAACATGTTGGTGACAAGGGCAAAATACAGAGGAAGGATGATGGTGATGATGACGATCATATGGCTCATTACAGGAAGACTACCCTGCATACAGTAACAGCAGATATGGACCCATTGCACATCATACAAATTAAAAAAGTGAATATATGTGGGTTGTGTGTGTGTGCGTGGGGGCGGGCGTGCACGTGTGTGTTCCCTTGATTACGATGTGGACACGTTATTCAAAAACCTGTCTGCATCTCACTTCACTGCCGCCCCCGTTGACACCAAACTTGTTGTTAAAAAGCAGAATACAAACATGCACAGGTAGGCGTTTGCAGGTCTTAACAAACACATGAAAATAACACTGAAGAGAGAAAGCGATGCACAACAGGCTGCTTCTTCTTCTTCCTCCAGCTTCATCATTCATTCCGTCCACATCGCCGTTTACTGTACGGCGGCGAAACAAATGTCAATACCCCCAGTTTAAGTAGTGCACATCCAGCTGTCACTACCGCGAAAACATCCAGCAGAGACCCGGACGGCCACCGTTACCGCGCGGCCACCTCCTCTGCACTAACACCCCTCTCATGTGTCGATCAAATGTGGATGTTATTTACCTTTTTTTAAGCGGTAATTTCGTCCTCCTTGTCCTCCATCAAGCGGCGGCGTCTCCGGCTCCTGTTGCCCGGCCCTAGTGGCTCTTCAGCCGGCGTCTGGGTCTCTCGGTCTCTCGGTCTCGCGGTCAGCAGCGCGCGGGTCTCTCGCGTGGAGCTCGCCTTGCAGAGAGAGACGCGGTCACACGCATAGCGCCAGAGCCGATCTGAATCAGGTAGGAAGAGAAGGGAGGAGGGGGGGAGGTGGAGGAGGGAGAAGGGGGCGAGCAGAGAGAGAGAGAGAGAGAGAGAGAGAGACAGAAAAAGAGAGAAAGAGCGAGAGAGGGAGGGAGAAAGAGCGAGAGAGATTTTGAAAGCCGCCGTGTTGAGTCGCTGCTGTTCCTGAGGTTAAACCGAGAGCAAATAACGCGCACACGCACGCATGCGCACTGGACAGAGCTCTTAATTAACAACATCAAAGTCAAAAGTCAACTTTATTGTCAATCGTTCAGTTTGTGTGTAGTGTACAGACAGAGAGATCGAAATACCGTTTCCCACAATCCCGGATATAGAAACAAATATATAAAAATACGTGTGCCTATACACAAAATCAAAGACACATTTTTACATGTGCACACATTAAGACCTAAATAAAAACACAACAATCAATATATGTTTTTATTTAGGTCTTAATGTGTGCCAACATATATGGATGAGAAAAGGATAATTTCCTCAAATTAAGTCTGAGAACTTGAAAGCATTAGAGGTTTTACAGTAATACAGAGTATTGATTTGAAATGTTAAACTAATTTAATCATTATCAGGTGTCTTTTTAATAACTCCAGACAGTTGTCTACAAGTGTCTACAACCTCTAAGAAGTGCTGGTGTGAAAGCAATGCCTTCATGGCTTGATACTAAATATAAGTGAATCCAAATTATTTGACAATATGACACACTAATATGCTGTGAAGCTAACATGGAAATAGGACTGAATTTAAACTATTTATTTAGTGTTTACTAGTGTTTCTTTCTTGTTTTTGGACAGAAAGTGGTATGTGAATTCACTGGATTTGGGCTAATTGCACAAAAAACTCTAAGCCAAACAGAACTGCTGCCTCAAAATTGGATTTACAAGCTTTAAATAGCAATTTATAAGAGGTTATTGAGTTTATGATGATAACACCCAATCTACAGTACATCAGCAGATTGAGTTTGCCCAGTTTTATTGAAATATATGTTTTATTCCGAGGGTTATATACACATCTGTCTCAAAGAAAACCCACAAAGGATACCTTATACTATATCTTGTAACATATTGTGTACTTCAGCCCTCCTAAAATAGCACAAACGAGATTTGTTTAAAGGCCACAAACTCTTTTGAATGAATAAAACAGCTTGTGGGCCACACAGACGAGAACATGCATTCAAATCTGACTGCTTTTTATAGTCTGGTTTTGCATGTGAAGGACACACAGTGCAGCATTCCTCCTGCAGGAATATGCATTTCAGACTTCTGTCCGGACATGCTCTCCAAGTTGTTCCTCCACTCACCAATCTGTACTCTGTGCTCGCTCAGATGTTGACCCTGATTTGTGCTCAGATTTCAACTCGCTCAATAGAGTTGTTGTTAAGGAAAGTCCACACCTAACAGAGAGACAGAGCTCCATTAGAGAGTGGGAGAGAGAGAGAGAGAGAGACATCCACATTAATAAGGGAGAAGGGGGGAGAGAGAGTGACACAGATAAGGGCAGACAGACACACACACACACACACACACACACACACACACACACACACACACACACACACACACACACACACACACACACACACACACACACACACACACACACACACACACACACACACACACACACACACACACACACACACACACACACACACACACACACACACACACACACACACTGGCACCGCTCACTGCTATAGTAATTTGTTTACAGTTGATTAAATATTCATGCTGAATTAGCTGTGAGCCTGCCAACAGTCACTTAATTTACACCCGGTGTGTGTGTGTGTGTGTGTGTGTGTGTGTGTGTGTTGTCATGTCAGGTGGTAGCTCTCGGGCCGTGGCGTGGAAAAAGGCATGATAAGAGGCAAACACACACACACACACACACACACACACACACACACACACACACACACACACACACACACACACCACACACACACACACACACACACACACACACACACACACACCACACACACACACACACACACACACACACACACACACACACACACACACACACACACACACACACACACACACACACACACACACACACACACACACACACACACACACACACACACACACCTGCTGGATTCCCCCCTCCGATCAGGTGATAGTGTTACTGTATTCGGCTCTTTTCCACTGGTTGCCCATGACAACGGCGAAGGAAGGAAGGGCTAAAGGATGGAGCAGAAGGAGGGAGGAGACAGCACCTGAGGAGAATACAATTAAAAAATCACATGCACATGTAAGGCTTGTTCTGTTTTCGAGATGATGATTCAGCATTAAATCGCCAGTAAAATGACAAAAAGAAAATTGAAATATATCAGCATGGTTTCCCAGAATCCAACATGTTGTCTGAATTTGTCTTGCATTGTCCAAAAAAATGTAAATATATTAATTCTACACTGATTTAAAGAGGCCCTATTGTGCTTTTGGGGGGTTTCCCTTTCCTTTAGTGTGTTATATAAGTTTGAATGCATGTAAATGGTCTGCAAAGACTAAAATGTCTCTCCCACATAGGACTACCTGAACATTAGCATAATAGGGCCCCTTTAAAACAGAGAACAGCAGTAAATCTTCACACTTCAGAGGTATATTTAATTAAAAAATAGCTCAATCAATTGTTATACTAATTGAGAAATCATCAGACACACACAAGGTGAATATGTGATGTCGTTTTGTCTCAGTTTAAGTTACATTTCTGTCAACTGTTTCCCTTATTGTCACATCTCAGCGAGAGGTTTATTCAGTGTCTTTCTCTTCATTTGTTTTGCCAACGAAAAGAAAGTCGCGAAAATTCCTCAAATCTGAAACAAACAAACAAACAGCACTACACACACACACACACACACACACACACACACACACACACACACACAGTTAAATACACACCTCCTCCATGCTCTCCCAGGGAGCTGTTCACAGGTTGACAAACGTCCTCTCTTCCCCATCCAAGTGCTGCTCAGCGGGAGCGGCACTCATCACTGAGAGAAAATCAGAAACTGATAACAAAGAGATAATTAACGTCTCCGTGTTACATATCAAACTGAGGGCAAATTACTGCACCGTTATTACCCATCATGCAAAATATGAACATACTGTCTCACATCCTGTACTAATCTCTCACCGCAGCAGTTACCCCCGTGCTGCGGTATTCATCCTTTTAATAATTTGCAGCCAACACATTGCATAATTAGTTCCTGATGTTTATTCATGCACTTAATACTGCTGCGTGTAGAGGGAAAAACATGTTATTTAGTAGGTCTTTGAATGCAACACTTGGAGTTTTTTCATTACATGTATGATTTGATCCTGTTTTTCTTGATTTAGTTCACCTGAACTGGTCGTTTTTGGGGAAGTACACTTGTTTATTCCTCAAAGAGAGAGGATCAATACCCATCTGCTCACATTACTCTCAGCAAGGAAGCGCAAAAGCATCTCCCCTAAAAAGTCCAACTAGTCCTCTGTCTGCCTAAATCACCATTGTTATAAACTCCATCTTCATCCTGTCTGGCGCTACGAGACAAACTCAGTGACACACACACGTCTCTGATGGGAAACGTCCTAATCCCAGTCCTAATCCCACTGTCAATTCATGTTCTCACCACCCACTGACATCCAGGCTCCCACTCAGATACCTCTCTCTCATATACCTCTCTCTCTCAGATACAGGGCCGAATTCAACATATACATTGGGGGGACACACACCCCCCCCCCCCAATATTCAGATACGCTCAAAATGTCCCCCCCCCCCCCAATATATAGCCGAGCTGATATCATTTTTTTTTAATAAAATTGCTATTCTATGACTTTTTTATTTTGGCTATTTGTATACTTGAAAATCTTTATTTTCTGTTATTGTGAACTTCACCAAAATTATATATATTTTTTTCACATGTAAATTGGTTCCGCCTTTGTTTGTTTATGCATACCTTTATTTTGTACCCGGGGGGTGTATTTCGCTGTCGCACGTCCGAGTCCAGCTTCAGTTAGCGTTGATGCTCCAAACAGGTCAGTCATGTTTTAATTTAATTTTTGAGACACAGTTTCGTGAATATTGTTGTTTTTTGCCCCCACGGGCAGGGGCATGGGGTTTGACAGGTTTTAAAGTATCCCATGTGTTTGTGAATTTTTATATATTTTCCTTTAGAATGGCAGGAAATTAGTATTCAAATGTTGATTGAATTTTGGTCCCCCCCAATGTTGACTCCATGGTTACGGCCTTGCTCAGATACCTCGATACCTCTCTCTCTCAGATACCTCTCTCTCAGATACCCCTCTCTCAGATACCTCTCTCTCTCAGATACCTCTCTCTCTCAGATACCCCTCTCTCAGATACCTCTCTCTCAGATACCTCTCTCTCAGATACCTCTCTCTCAGATACCTCTCTCTCAGATACCTCTCTCTCAGATACCTCTCTCTCAGATACCTCTCTCTCAGATACCCCTCTCTCAGATACCTCTCTCTCAGATACCCTCTCTCTCAGATACCTCTCTCTCAGATACCTCTCTCTCAGATACCTCTCTCTCAGATACCCCTCTCTCTCAGATACCTCTCTCTCTCAGATACCCCTCTCTCAGATACCCCTCTCTCAGATACCCCTCTCTCAGATACCTCTCTCTCAGATACCCCTCTCTCAGATACCTCTCTCTCAGATACCTCTCTCTCAGATACCCCTCTCTCAGATACCTCTCTCTCAGATACCTCTCTCTCAGATACCTCTCTCTCTCAGATACCCCTCTCTCAGATACCTCTCTCTCAGATACCTCTCTCTCAGATACCCCTCTCTCAGATACCCCTCTCTCAGATACCTCTCTCTCAGATACCCCTCTCTCTCAGATACCTCTCTCTCAGATACCCCTCTCTCAGATACCTCTCTCTCAGATACCTCTCTCTCTCAGATACCTCTCTCTCAGATACCTCTCTCTCAGATACCTCTCTCTCTCAGATACCCCTCTCTCTCAGATACCTCTCTCTCAGATACCCCTCTCTCAGATACCCCTCTCTCAGATACCTCTCTCTCAGATACCCCTCTCTCAGATACCTCTCTCTCAGATACCTCTCTCTCAGATACCCCTCTCTCAGATACCCCTCTCTCAGATACCTCT